TGCCGGGCGCAGGAGAAAGCCGGGCAGCAGCGGGGCAGCTTCGTGGTGCTCTCGTCGGGGAACCACTCCGGCCTGGCAGAGCAGCCCGAGCCCTCCGAGCCGCCCCCCACGCCGGACTTCTGCAGGGGCTACTTCGACGTGATGGGGCAGTGGGACCCCCCCTTCAACTGCAGCTCGGGGGAGTTCATCTTCTGCTGCGGCACTTGTGGCTTCAGGTTTTGCTGCAAGTTCAAGAAGACGAGGCTGGATCAAAGCACCTGCACGAACTATGAGACGCCGCTGTGGATGAACACGGGGAAGCCGCCCTCCCGCATCGACGACCCTCTGCACGACCCCACCAGGGATAAAACCAACCTCATCGTGTACATCATCTGCGGGGTCGTGGCAGTCATGGTGCTGGTGGGGATCTTCACCAAGCTAGGGCTGGAGAAGGCGCACAGACCCCAGCGGGAGCACATGTCCAGGTAAGGCCGGGTGCCAGCACCAGGGTCCCCTCCCCAGGAGCCCCAGCAGAGCCGGGAGCCCAGGTGTCCCTGCTGAGCAGCTCCTGCCACGCGGGCTGCCCTCCCCTGCAGGGTACAGGGGACAGGGAAGGAGCAACTTTGCAGAGCAGGGCTGCCCTGTGTCCCCAAGCCCAGGCTGTCACACTGCGCGCGTGCTGAGGACTGGGAAGGACAGGGAAGCCTGCGCTGGGAGCAGTCCATTTTTGTCTGCAGTGCCTGACCCTCTCTCCAGCAAGATCCAGCAAGTGTGCCCAGATAGAATGTGTATGAACAGAGAGGGAAAAAAAAAAATCCTGAAACCAGCAACACTGAATTATGGAAAGGCTGATGGGTTCCCTCCTCCAACAGTTTCTAGGCTCAGAAAATGTTTTTACTTCTCAGCTGAAGGATGTAAACAAATGTCATCTCACCCTCCCTCTCCAGCTGCAAAATGGTTTTGGCAGGACCTACCCTACTCCCCCAGCCCTTGCAAGTGTGTGAGCTATTTGTAAAATATGTGAGCTGTGAAAATGAGCCGGGGTGGAAGGGAGAGAGGGAGACACAAAAAGCAAAAGCTATTATAGAATTTCTTGACATTTTTTACTTACTATTGAGAGGGAAAATACAGAATATGAAAGTCTTGGTCGTCTGTGCATGTGTTACACTCTGTGTATCCCCAGCGTAATGGCCGAGTTTTATGTGGAAGGGCCCCTTTTCCCGCGCCGGAGCTGGGCATCCTGCGCCATGGCTACTCCACACGCCGGCTGCCTAGTGCTGGAGAGGAAGGTGGGCAGCTCAGGACAGAGTGGCTTTAACAACATATTTCAAACCCAGATTGTCACAGCAGTTCGAAATCAAGGCATAATACATTTGTCAAGTTTGCAGTCTGTCTGATTCGTTATGCTAATCCCAGGCACATGAAAGTAAAGCAGATCGGGGCGGGGGGGAGGGGGCGAAAGACATTTCAAAAGGCAAATAGCTCTGTCAAAGTCTCTGAATCAGTTCCAGGATCTTGGGCAACTTTAGTGGTGAGATGCAGTTAAACAGCTGCCTGCTACTGGGCAGGCAGCATGGCAGAAAGCTCCTCTGGTCCTGGCTGGTAAGGGGGTAGTTACGATCCTGAGAGCTTAGATGAAGAATCAACCTTAGAAAGATGGCCAAGAGATCAGCCTGAAGATACTAGAAGCCTCTTGTTGAAGTTTCTGTATGGCTTTTTGATTAACAGCTTATCCTGAAAGGAACAGAGAAATCCACCAAAAATAGTCCTGCGAATGCATCACCAGTTCACTAGCAATTATTTGCTATTTATAAACTGGCTGATATGGATACGCACTTACTACTGAGAAACAAAGCACACCACTGAAATTTTAGTCAACTCAACGTTGTGTACCAGTGGTAATTCTGCAGAGAGTCCGCTTTTAAGCGAACTATAATAATTTCTTTAGTCATTTTCAATATCTTGAACTTGAGAAAAATAATACATGTGTCTTGTTTTTTAATTTTAGACTCTGAAACTATGGAGTTGAAGCTCCTTTTGGAAAAAGCTCTTTGCTTCAGTCTATTTTTGAAGTGCCTTCATGCAGGCAAAAAGACAGGACTCATAACAGTTAGAGAAAACAGGACAGTGTGAAGGTGTTGCCATCACTGCTTATGTCTGGCTTGAATTGTCCCTGTTTCTACTAGGAGAAGTACTTGTTAAAGAAGCTCCGTGGATTTGCGGTCTGAAGAGCAGGTGTGAAGGATTCTGAAGGATTCGGTCTTTGCTGTTGGAAACAGCGTTACAGGGGATTGGACTGTCATTCTGAAACCCTTCAATCATGTGTGCATAAAGATTAGATTTCCAAAGCAGTGCTTAGAAAGGTCATTTGTTACCCTGATTACTTAATGTTGTTTCAAATCTTGTACTTTTCTCTCCATGAAAATGTTCAAGTCAGGATTATAGCAACTTGGAAAGTCATGATCACATGTGAAAACAGTCACCCACTCAGTACACATAATAGCTAGTCATGTTCTGAAAAGGCAGCGCTACAGCTCCTTTTAAAAAGTTCTCGCACACCGATTACAGCTACGGAGGGTGGGTTTACCATTAATTGTAAAAGAAATTTGATTTGTAAATCCCTCAGTCAATATAAAAATCTGTTCACTGAGTGGAGAATTGAAGTAACCTCTTTGTCCTTGTGTGTAGGTTTAACTAAAATACTCTATCCTATCTCGTTTTACACTGCTAATGTTTTAGGGAGAAAGGGCTGCAGTGTTTAAGAAATAAATAATTTATCTGTTTAAACAGTAATAATATCAGCAATTAAAATACTAGTTAAAATCTAGTGTATAGTCGTTATCACTTTCTCTTATAATATCCATCACTACAGCATTGGGGGAAAACATTTTTTCCTCTGCTGAACTTTGTTTAAAAGCAAAAGTGCAATGCTCTGAGAGTGCTAGGTAGGCCAAACCAAGAATATTATGCACTACTCCATTTTGGCTGGCAGCAAGACTGGCACACAGAGACTGATTTTTCTTTTATTCCCTTAGCTGAGCTTGTCTGCTTTCCCTTGCCTAGCCAATGCATGAAACATGTGAATCCTCCTCATTCCTATGAACAAATTCACCAGAGGAAGGGATGGTACAGCTTACCAAAGACAGCACGCAATGTTGACTGCCTTTCAATGAAAGAATTTAAGTCACCAGAATATAGCTGGTGTAAATTATGTAATTTCATTTTTGATTTACTAAAAATATTTTGAAATAGGAACAGAGACATTCCCTGACACTTGAAAATAAGAACATTGACTTATAAATGGGAAGCAATGCTGTAACACCCTTATTAATTCCCTATATTATTCGTACTTGCCATGAGTGGATTTGCTGAAGGGGTGTGTGTGTGAGTGGTGCAGCATCCTAATAAAAGAAACTTCACAGACTTGGCAAGTGTAGTTCTACAGACAGTCACTGCATCTTGCTTCCTGCTCTATCAAAATGAACCAAGAAAGCTCCATTTGTTTCACTGAGTTTTCCTACAAGTGTGACCATTTAAGAAAACGTATTTAGTTAGTGACAACAATGCACAGGGGATAAAGCTCTGTTGGATTGGACAAGTCTATTTTTACGGGCAGGGGGAAGAATTGTTTTGTTTTTTTTTAAAGGGAAGCTTGCTGCTTCCTGTTGTTCTGAGGAAAAAGGCCGTGTGTGGCACTGTTGACACTTTCTTTTTTGTTCTTCCCACCAGTCCTTGCAGTAAAAGTGAATACTGTTGGTAGGGGGCTGTAAATATGGAAGAGGAAAATGGAGAGGGAAGTACAGTAAGAAATCTGCATGGCTTATTTCCCTCTGGACATCACATGTTCATGTTTCTTTCACTCTCCTTCTTTATAACTTTGTTATTTGACATTAGATGGAGTTAGCTGTTTCCTTCAGTTATTGAGTGTGCAAGGACTAAGCAGTGCTAATAGTATCCAAGAATGCCTGCACACAGGGCAAGAGGAATGAGTGTCTGCGGCAGCGTCTGCCTGAGGAAAGAGGGCAGTGAGCTGCCCTGTGCTTTTACAGTCTCTGCTGGGCACTGAGGTGCAGGACGTGCTTGCTGCCTAAGGCAACAGCAACGGGGCTGCTGGGCTCCACTGGTTAAGTGGAGGAGCCTCTCTTCGAAATGGGAGGAACTCCACAGTTTCCTTGCTGGAGAAAAACCTTCGCTATTCTTCCATGGAAGGCATTTTCTGTAAATAAAACTGTAGCTTTGTCTTCTCCTCTACTCCTTGTGGTGAATGTGTAAACAAATCAGGAAAATTTATGCCCTATAGCTCCTGTTTTTTTGATGTGAATGTGTAAACAAATCAGGAATATTTAATCAGGAATATTATGCCCTATAGCTCCTGTTTTTTTGAAGCAGAGCTTCTGCCAGTGCATTAGCAGCCTTCTGAATATCATGAACGCACCGAGCTCCTCCTCCTTCCTTCACAACGGGCTGAGCTCACAAGTCAAGTCTTTTGTTGATCATTGAAAAGGCAAGTACCTGAGACCAGAAATTGTCCAACTTGCCAGATGGCTGAATCCTATGTGTGAAATTATTTCCCTTATGAGTTTTGACTCAGATTTGGAGGCAAAGTATGACAACTGACCTTTCATGAAATATCCTGTGTTTGAGCTTTTTCAAGCTTGTAGCCATAAACGAAATGTCTAGCTACACATGCTTTGTTGCAGCTGAAAATAGTATTACATATCCAAAGAGCAAAAATCTCATAATAAAAAAAATTCTGAAGGTTATTGATACTTCCTGGATAGTTGTGGGCTGTGAACTCACATGTAGCTAACATTTCTGCACTTCTATGGTATTGTAGTCAATACCAATATCAAGACTTATCGATATCATTACCCGATTAGAAGATTATCTTGTATTTTCCATTTTTTGAACAATCATTAAATGTGGCACAAGTGTGGAGAGAGGACCCCTACATATATCATTTTCCAGTTGGACCTGCTCAAACTGTTTCCTTGCATAATGAGCAAAATCAGCGTGATTTTCAAGAGAGACTAATGCATCAAGTCTGTTGGCCTATAGAGAGTTTGTCAAAGCAAACATCTAATCAAGGACTTTGCTGTGTGCATGTCAGGGGCATGAAACTCTATTATGGGTAAATCCCTAAAAGAACAAAATGCAGGTACAGCATTTCCTTTGCGCTTTGATGACGTGAGCTGCTACTCATCCTTAGCTCTTTCTGATATCAGTGAGAGATAAGGACAAGCTTTTTTAATATGAATTAATCTGCCCCTGAACAGATTGTACAACTTTGGCTAATACAAGATAAACATAGGTGCAGTGTCATTAAAAATAGAACTTGACAGTGAGAAGTTCCTTTTTGCTTTACATAATGGGAGCTGAACAACTAATTCCATAAAATAATTTTGAAAAATCCATCCTAAAATGGTAGAGGACTTAGTTGGCATTCTCACAGACAGGCAGTAGTTAATCTGGCATCATACAGGGTGTTATTTAAAGTCTGCAGGGAACAATATTTACCACCAGATTAAGGGCCCTGAAGAAAGTACCTCTGGAAACCTGCTCTCACAAAGTTGAAAAATACTAATTTGTGTATTATGAGATCCCCCAGGTTTAAATCCTGGGCTAAAGTTAGAAACGTGCGTTTGCATTTCTTCCCTTTGCAGAAATGTGACCAGTTGCCTTTGGAAATGATATCAGTATCAGTAATTTCATTTGCGTAAAACTCGTTTTAAACAATGATATTTTCTAAAGTAATCCTTTCATTTTGCAGCATTTTCTACATACCTTTGTGAATCTCTCCTATTGAATTTTTATTTTGCTTCTATGTAGGCCAGCTTGGCTGTTTTTGCTGTATAAGGATTTCTTCAAATGGGAGCATTGCTCTGATACCATTAATCATTTGGCTGCTCTCTCTTGACCTTTTACAGTATCAACAGAGTATTTCTGTTACATGTTGAACATAACTGTAACTAATATTTTAATATCGTAGCACTGACCGTAAACCCAAAGAAATAGACCCAAATCAGTTTTCCTGCGTTTTGAGAGCAAGATCAAGCTCAAATTCCTCTGCCTGTCCATCTACATGTAACTTAAATGAAACTACTATGTAATTCTTGAAAGCGCACTGCTTCTTGATCAAGAAATCATCACGTCACAGAAATACAGTGGAGGAGCTAGATGGCACTTGCCTTGTCTTTCACTGGTGAATGCGTTTATTTTTATTTATTTATTAATTTATAAGCCAGTCTTTCTTGATGCCATATCTGGGACACTGTATATAATTTTGCAGAAAATTAAACCAGCTGGGCACCGTGCCCAGAAATTCATCCATTCCCTTTAAAAAATAGCTCAAGCAGTCTAAAAATTAAAACTAGTAGAAAACAAAGAGGCAAATAATGGTCAGTGGTGCATTGACCTGAATAGAAAAGGCTTGCATTGAACTCTGAAGACATTAGTAACAGATGCCACCAGTCTCGTTTGCCTAAGGCCACCTTCTACAAGTGGCCCAATTATTTTCTATAGCAGAGCAGTTGAGCATCTCATTACACTGCAAATACCTAAGGGCTGTTGTGGCTCCTACTGAAGTCAAGTCCGTAGCCCAGGATCACAGAGAGATGTAGATGTCGCCAGGCTGAGGGTTTCAGAGTTTAAGACTTGGTCCCTAGCTCTGGTGCATACAGTCACCCATGTGCCTGGGCCTGCGGGACACTGCCCAGTGAAACTGGGGCCCAGAACATACCCAGGAGTGGGATGGGCCTGGCTCCTGCGGGAAGAAGCCACGTCAGGTGGGCTCATCCTCCTGTTAGGATCCCCTTCGCTCCCTCTCTGCTTTTGTCTTGTTTCTGAACTGGCTTCAAAGAGATAAAAAATGTTCCCATCCAAGCTTCGTCCCATCCTAAGAATTAAGACACTCTCAAATAGGTTAGAAAGAATCTTTTCGAATTACCCCTTTAGATGGGAAAAGCTTATGACCCCGATCCCACTTTGTTTATGCTCTACTATACAAAAAGCCATGCTCTGTGGGGCTGTTTCCGGAGGCAAACGCCTCGCGCGTGGCCGCGTGGCGCTCGCGCAGCTGCGTGGCGGGGAGCTGGCGCCGCGGACGCTCCGCAAAGTCTGACTATGGGTCTGAGTCCCTGACTTCACTGTGAACAGATCTGGCTTCTCTAGTGCACGTTACAATGGACTGCATGGGCTGTGTCTCAAACTAAAACAAAACAAGCGAAAAAAAAAAAAAGAACTGGAATATATAGCAAATGCCTTACAGATTTCACAACAGATTTATTCTGATTTTTTTGTTCCTCAGAGCTCTTGCTGATGTAATGCGACCTCAAGGTCCTTGTACAACAGATCATATGGAAAGAGATCTAAACATTGTAGTACATGTGCAACATTATGAAAACATGGAGACAAGACCTCCTCCAAATAATTTACGTAAGTTGCATTATAACTATATCAATATTTTGGAATGCTGGGACTCAAATATTACAAAACAAATGTTGCTGAACATCAAATAAGTTTAGACAGTACGTGGGTTCTTGTAAACTAGACATAGTCTTTATCTAAGAATGAGAAATAGATAGGTTTTCCTAGTGCAAATAGTGCAACACTAATGAAAAAGCCGTTTTGAACAGAAATATAATCACTTATTGAAATTATTTTTATTTCGTGGTTATGAATGACAAATATATGTTTTCTATCTTTTGTCTCTCTAAATGGTGTTTTCATTCAACTCATCAAGCTATTACTTATTCTATGTTTTTTTGTGCCAAAATGCAAATAGCTAAGCTTAAAGTAAGACAATATGCTTCATGAGGCTGTAAAGTCTCATAAGAAAGAGGTCTTATTGCCTGTTATATCATCTGCACTTGTATAATTGCTAAATATTTTTCTGGAGAGCATAAGGTGGCATGTGGTTTTCACGTGTTTTTCATGAGGAAGGTTATTATATTAAATTTTAAAGAATATTTTTATTCTGCATATGCTCTGTTACTTATTTAAGTTATTGAAGACAAGCACATGTTGGACTTTCAAAGTAACCTGGTAACATTTGCAGTGGTTCTGAAATGCTAGGCAGCTTCGTTCTCAAGCTGGGATTAGACCATAGTATGGATCTTTCTGCTGTACAGCTGCATTTTCTTCTTGTAATGAACAGTCTCAACGTAATTTTATTTTGCATATACATTTTATATGCAAATATAAATATATATATGCAAATATATATATAATTATTTATATAAATATTTTATATTTATAAATATATATATGCATAAGTGCATACAAATTATAGATGGTATATCTACAAATTCAAGTTCAATATATCGATGGAAGAACAGAGCATCATTCAGAAAGGTGTGGATTATTTCTTAGGTTTGGATGGTTTTTTTCTGTGCTGATGCTGCAAATATACTGCAATGGTACTTGGATTTTAAAGCATTTTAAGTATGCTCATTGGTCTTTATCTTTCTGAAAGTATAGAAGGTTGAAAATTTGTTTGTATTTGGACAAAGGATTAATTTTACTTGCACGGCACTATGCAATTATTGTGAAATTATACGGCTCCCTTCTTTGGGGGGAAAAAAAAAAGAGAAGGTTATGCTGCTGCATGTGCTTTTGGTATTTGCTTTGTGGTAGAGGCTGAGCGTGATTTCTTATGCGTGTGGTTACAAAATAACAGGAGAGAATAAAAGCTGTGCCCTCTAATGAAGATGCCACATACAGTGAAGTGTGACATCTCATCTGTCTGCACTGCTCTCCAGCAAAGTGCTTCCACCTGGGCCTGTGCACTCCTCCCTGCAGAGGGGGAAGCACATGGATGTGCTGCAGCACTACGGCTCCGGTCGCAGGGAAGCAGAGCTCTTCCAGAGGGGAACTGAGGCTTCTCCCTCCAGGAAAGGCGCTCGAGCCCCTGGTCTCATGAGCTCCTAAGGGTTTAAGGGAGGATTGGAATATGCAGTTTATCTCTGTCTTTGCTCTGGGTATTAGCTTTTTGCTGATCGCTCCCTCTGATGTTCCTCTGCCCACGCTGTCAAAATACCAAATGGCAATGGCGTTAGGGTGCAAATTCTTAGTTTCTTCCATGTTTTAAACATACTCAGAATCCCAGTTAATGAAAAGCACCAGAAAGTAAACAGATTCTTACTGCATTGATAGTAGCCTAATTTTTTATAATCTTCACACTGAGATATTTAAAGACTTTATGCACTATAATATAAGGCATACCACAGCAGGTCTTTAAACTCATTGAGTTTCTTGGATTTGAATTCAGATTTAAGCCTACTGCTGCACAAGTATGCACGTCCCTGGAGCTGCACCGCTTCCAAACTAAGAGAGAAAGAAAGAAACGTTTGGTAGCACCTTAGGATGCTGCCTTGCACGTGGCCCCGGGTAGCTGGATCCCGTCTGCGCCTCAGGAGCCCGGCCCTCCGGCCCACATGGAAGAATTACATGGGAATTCTCGCTTGCACCACTGCAGCTCACACCATGCAAGCACTAGGGCTACTTTGGCGTTATCTTAATAATTTGGATGATAAATAGAGGCAACCCAGGGCCAGCTTCATGTGTGGCTTAGGCCTTGGTGCTACAGGTGGGAACCTCAGGCACAAGCAGCTGGGTTGGTAGGTGATTCAGTCTTTAATCAAATTTTTGGACTAAGTCAATCATTTCATGTTGTTTCATGCAGACCTTGAAGTGGTGAAATTACCCAAGGTATCCTATAGCTGATGCTATATACACTTACTTCATAGCAAATACATCATTATTTTTATATTGTTGCCATTATATTTTCTCATAAACTCATACAAAACACGACTAAATGGCTTTATAAAATTAACCAGTACAGGACAAATAATAGAGGCTGTTAAATGCATGAGCACTTACAGTGCAGAAAAAAAACTTTATAAATAAAAAATACATTTGGAAAGGTTTTTCAAGTCCAATAACTTAGCAATTTGAAATTTTATATCAGAGTTCTGAAACACTGCAGCATTACCTAGTCCTGGTGTTGCACAGATTTTCTGGTATCTTTTAACAAGCAAATAAACCAGACTCTGAATTACAGCTTTCATTTTTCATAGAAAATCTATTCCAAATCTTTATACAGACAAAATGAAATGGTGCAACATTATATCATCAGATACTTTGATGTATATTTTTAAAGTTCTCTTTTCTAAGTTGTTACTTTCTCTCTACTAACTATCTCAAACTGAGACTAAAAAACTTTAGACTGACATTGTACTTTTCACATCTGCCCGTGGATGTGATGAGGCAGGAGTCATTTCTTAGGCTCTCTGTATCTTTTTGTATTGTGGTTATATTATTATGTCTTTCAGAATACCAAAGACAGATTATTAAAGGGCAAATGTTATTAAAAATGTTCTAATTTGAATGTTCATTTGGCCCTTCTGCCCTCAAGAAGTGCCATTTTCCTGCTGCTGCCAACCGATAGTGGAAGTGTTTCATAAAGGACTGCTGTCGAAATGGACAGCTCTGACCCTGAAAACGACTGCGTTTCCTCTCTGGACAGTTTCTCACCAAAGCACAGCGATTTTCTAAGCAGCCTGCAGTTAACACAGCTACTTGCCAAAACCAGCAGGCCAAAAGCCGAGATCTCTTCTTGGTGTCCTGTGGACAACGGAAGTGCAGTTTACTCCATTGCTTATCCCTACTTCTCTAACACTCAGCCAAGAATATCCCTTCTGGTGGAGCAAGAAGAAGGCAGACTTTCTTCTGTGTCCGTGTGAATCCCAACAACCTAATGCTTGCTAGTAAAAGTGGCTTTGTAGTTGTTACTTGCCATAATTTTCCTCCAGTAATGTACTTTTCTTAAGATTACTTGAGAAAAAAAATCATATTTTCCTTCCTTCGTGTAGAGAAAGAAGCACTGC